GAGAATCAATTCATAAAGCATGAAACTGAAGAAATAATAACAATTATTGAAGAAGCATAATGGCATGAAAAGAAGAGAATTTTCTTTTTTCATGCAAATATATATGCACTTGTTGGCATTAATTTACAGGTTTTTAATATTATCCCTCTTGTAAGCAGATGTAACAGCATTGCCTGATCAGGCCAGTCTTCTATAATCTATCATTAAAAAAACTTTGTGTTATTTGCTTGGAAATAATATATAATTTCTGTAAGTATTTTGAGTTATATACTCCAACTAGTGGAATACTCTAACTAGTAAGGAGATGTCAAACAGAATCATTAATATGGATTTTAATCATACATTGCACTTCAATAGATGAATCGTTTAGACTGGGAAAACCACGAGTTAGATGTCATGTATTACCATGGATTGCCCAGTGCCATGCCTACGTTCCATCTCTTATCTCCCCCATGCTTGTATACCTCATTGCCATATCCTGTGTCTCCCTTCCTGAAGACTTTGGCAGTCATCCAAGCTTACACTGCAATGGTACCTTGATAATAGCACACAAAGGTAAATGTAAATCCAAAAAGCTACAGATACTTGCTCAATGATCTGTTATTAGTAATGGAAATAGCATATTACTGAGCTACAGGGTTACAAGAGCTGAGCTACTTACATTTCTGTTATAAGTGATCTATTTTTTCTCATGTCAGCTTTACCTGAAGTCTCCCTCAAGAATAAATACTGAAGAACTCCTATGCCTACTAAGCAATTCTGTTCAATCCTGTTCCTGACTGGCTTTTCCAATGCCTTATTTGAAATTTCTAAAACAACTACTTCTGAAATGAATTTGATATGAAGAAGAAAAAAAAAAAACAAAACCAAGCATGCAAACAAACAAAAACACAACCATAAAATGAATCCTGGCACACTGGAATGTATTGTATGTCTCAAATATGACTCAGATATGAATGTCTCAAATGACTTGCGTGTTCAAATTGCATCCTTGTAAAACAGGAGAGGTGCTGATGAGAGAAAGAAAAAAATATGCCAGATTCTAAAAAATGCTCAATATGGATACATTTAACTGAAGAAGCATGAGTTTCTTTTCATTGAACTGAAGCTTCCAATGAGAATTTCACTTCTGCCCAGAGCATAACCCTAGCTGGAGAGAAAAGAAACGTGCCTGGAGTCATGCCGTAATGTAAACCAAGTCCATCCGACAGGCACCAAGGCATCTTCTGCAGCATAGGAAATCCCCAGTGTCAGAAGGAAGCAATCAGGGCCACAGGTCACAGAGATCTGAGTCCATGAGTTATGAGAGGATGGCTCTGGCATAAAAGAATTTGTGTAGGGCAAAGGTAGCAGATGCCAAGAACTGTTAGAGAGGTTACTTGAGACTCAAAGGGAGGAACTGTAGTCTGTGTCATGACATCCAAACCACAGGAAGAGGACAAAGGATATATGGAAGATAAATCTAGGCTGCTGGCAGGCAAGCTAAGCAATACGCTCATGACATCTCACATATATATTATGCTATTTGCCATCCCCTTTTTTCTTAGGATCTTAAAGTCTACCACATTGCGGTCCTTGCAGTCAGGATTGCCAATGACTGTCATATCCTTGACCAACTCTTCTCTGATGAGTTACAAATCCAACTGAGTACCTTCTGCATTTGGTCTGTCCAGCATCTGTGGATATGATTCCTGATGATCTAATTCTCCGTACCCTGCCATGTTGCCCTTCCAGCAGATTTCAGGATGGTTAAAGTCATTTCAGGCAGCTGAAATCCCATCTTAATAGACAAAATTCAGTGATAGTGATAGCGATAAACATCTGCTAGCCCACATGATCAAGATGTTTCCTTTGAAGCCAGATTTTTTTGATTCCATGTTTATAAATAAGTTTTTATGGACAATTTCTTTTGGATAACTTTAGAAATAGAAGTCGAAAAGGAGCCTAGTCTTTAAATTATAATGTATTAACAGTAAGAACTTCTGCATCGCAAATGTCCAGCTAAAACCAAAACTTACCATGGAAGTCAAAACACATAAGGTCTACTGGATCCTTTCTGTTCTGTTTCACAATCATGACCATTAGTGAACTATTTACACTCTCTTGGCTTTCACTATGGAAGCTGTTGAGGCTGCAAAGCCCCTTCAGAAACCTGAAATTCACTTCTAATGTCCTGATGAGAACAGAAGTCCTATTCATGAGATAGAGGAGGTAGGAGTAGTTGGGATTACAGCTTTCTCTTTCCTGTTCTTGGGCAAAGACCCAAAGTAATGATCACTGGAAAAGGGTAGTCAGGATATGTAACCTTCCAACTATCTGATTCAGATGTTCACACAGACAGAAGTCTTGTATTCTGGTCCCCTCTTGCTATTCCTTTGTTCTGTGGAAAACATCATTTTCTGAAAAAAAGGAAGTAGTGCAAGTACCAAGAAGAATGTTGCAATCTATACAAGAACCATATATTGCCATGAAAAATGTTTAGACAGCTCTTGTGAGCACTCCTATTGCTGTTGGATGAATAAAATATTCTTCAAGCTTTAGGATTTTCTAGGAAAGTTGTGTTAATTCTGATCTGGCAGTGGCAGGATCATCATGGAACTCAAAAAACTGAGAAGCTGAATACACTCTCACTACCTCTGTAATTCTGAAAAGAGCCTATTTTTCACCTGCTGGGTTACAGTAAGGCCACTCCACACAGGTTTCTTGGACTTCAAGGCTTTGATAATATCATCAACATGCAACAGTTTTGCTTAGTGATTTTTTTTTTTTAATTTGTTTATATTTTTAAAAATCTCAGGAAGGATTTGCCCTAAATACAGACAAGCAAAGAAATCCCCTGGGTAACAGAGTTCCTTTGTGGTGGTAACAGTACTGTCCTTGTGGGTTGTTTGGCTTGTTCTCCTACAATACATTCTAGTTAAAAAAAAAAAAAAAAAAAAAGAGTGTTCGCACCCCAAAACCTCAAAACCCCTACTTCCTCAATGTGTTGCTTAGATGCATAATCTCAGAAAGTATCAGAGAGTGCTGCTCTTCTACTATTTGCTATAAGCCTGGGAGCTCTTCAGAGTGGGAACATAAGGCTCAAGTAACCATGTAGTGGAGTTGCACTGGAGAGAAGGAACCCAGCGCTGCATGGATCAGTTTCCCTTTGTTAACTCATTCTAACACATTAATTGGGAGGACTCTAAATCTGGAAGTTGACAGCACTTCCCAGAACCAAATTTAGGCACACAGAAAATGCAATTGTCCAGCATCCCACCGCATCTGCACCAGCGTGATGAGCAGCTGAGTCACATACAGGCACTGCATAGCCATCCAGCCACAGCCATATATGGGCTTGTGCTCCGACTGCTTCTCCCAGGAAATGTCTGTAGGCGTGTGTAAATACAGCCCCCTCAGAGCATCAGCTGACCTTAAACGCCATCCTTAAAGTGGTGCAGGATCAACAAATGCAACTTTGGTGGAATTGATTCCAGCCTTCTTCCTTTCCACCTATCTCTGGGCTCACCTCAGCACCTTTCGTTCTCTTCTGCAGTGTGAGGTGCCAGAGTGGGAGCAGAGCTCCTGCTTTGGAGAAATCTGCTGCAGGAATGGGGTGGGAGACTGCTTAACAATCTGGGAACTATGCTACTGGAAGAGGGAGACAAAGGATCTCTCTCAAGAAGAAAGGAGAGAGAGAGGCAGATGCACAGAAACTGTCTTCCTTCAATTTTCTAAACTCCATTAGATTCTCTCTGGCATTTGCTATGGCTCTAATTTTATCGCTTTCCATTCTCCTTAAAATATCACCCTAGGGCCACCAGCCCCTGCCACAGCGAGACTGCATAGTGGCCAAGCTCCAGCTCACTACAGCCCTGCCCAACCCTGACATGGCCCCTGCTCAGCTGGGCCCACCACTGTGAGTGCCCCCACATCCCCAGCTGCCTGCTCCTGGTAGTGCTCTTGGATGGGACCTGGTCTTGAGGGCCTGTCCTCAAGCACCAGGGGCAGCATGCTTGGCCCATGGAAGGATATGCTTTTTATTGAGTCACGCTTTGTACAACTAATAACTATTTACAGACAGAGATAAATATCTCTGAGAGGAAATGTTTTTACATATTTATTGGATTCCGAAGTATTTCCGGATTCTATACAACAAAAAAGAAAATTTAACAGCTAACTACTTGTTCATATTGCGTGAAATGTGGGTTTTAAAATTGCTAAGACTCTTGATTTTGTAACAATCAGAAGGGAAGTGATGAGCATCACATCTTGCAACACTTCCGATAATATGAGTGTTCCCTAAAATGTAGAAGACAAGGAGGCAGCCCTATTTGTAGCTGTATAACCACTGCAATTGCGAGTCTTTCCATTTTCTCTGAGCCTCAAGACTATGATGCAAAGATAAATGAGACAAAGAAGTTTTCAAATACAAGGTATGTCTATCTTTGTCTTTCTGTTTTGTTTATGGGAGCATTTGGTAATGTTCTGAGATAGATACAGGAAGCCATGGGCTGGAGGGCCGATGATCCAGGCATAATCTCAGAAGCTGGCAGAGAAATACATGGAGCTGAGTTGAATAAAGATTTTTGCAAGCAAGATATCTACTGCCTGCCAAGAAAGTTCCTTGGCCACATTTTTTTTATTTTCTTTCTGGTTTTGGCATTGAATTTGTAATAAACTTAGTTGCTGCTCCTAGATCTACTTTTATGCATGTATACTAAAAAATACACTTGGAAGTACACTAGCTGAGCTAACACCCTCACCAAATTTAACATACTGATCACTGAGTATCTAGAGCGAATCGATTTTGCTGTGACAAATTCTGATATTTTCTATTTGCAGCTGTTTACCCACATGCTTGAGGTCTACTCATCCTGATAGATAATCTTTAGACCTTAAGATGGCAGTCATCAGCGAATGTATGTAGAATTTCTAGAGCGGTTCCCAAATCAACAGCTTTAAAAATCATCACACAAATTATTTCGCTGCAGTGAAAAACAACTTTGTTGATCTTGTTACTATCCATTTTAAAGATTCCCTGGCTGCTTGAAACATCCATATAATCTTTTCTTGCACAAGAACTGAGATGGGCAGACAGTTTGGAAGCAGGTAAAATGAGCAGATATGACCAGACCAATTCAGAGGGCAGCGGTTTGCTCTGATATCTGTCATATTGGACAATTCTTGCTGCTTTCTGTCTCCAAGGAAGAAAAGATGCTTGCTTGTCTTGGACTCATCTTCATGACACAGTGGATGCTTCTGGTTGCCCAGATGTATGATGATTGGCAGTGCACAAACTGTGAGTAGAACACTTCCTGCAGATATCCTCTTAGGTGAAGTGTAATATGCTTCTCTTTAGACATATTTGTCCCCCAGTTGCCTTTTGTCTTAGATCTGGTAAGTAGTAACCTCTATACCTCAAAAATCCGAACATAACCGATCCCTATTATGTGATAATTTCAGGGGAGATGTCAGATTCACCCATCCAAAATTTGATGCTGAATTGGTGGAAAACAGAACTGAGTTGGATCAGCACCATGAATTTCACTAAGTACAACTGTTCTATGTCAGTATATAATAATGTGGTCGAAATACAGGTAAATTTTCTATGTAAAATATCAACAGAGATAAATCACTACACTTTATTCTTTATCTTTTGTATTCTTGAATAACTGAAAAAAGATAGTCTGTGTTTTAGCCATTCTTTTTAGTTTTTATTGAGGCCCATCTTGATACTGATATGTGTCTGTCCTCTGACAATTCTCATGAAATTCTTGCCCTGTGAGGACTATTGTGGGACCAGGATCTTGATGAGACTGAAGCATAAGACTGCCTGTTTTCCTGGTTTCAAAGGAACTTCACTGAGAGGCATCTCATGCTGTATGGATGAGAATTTTCACGTATAGAGGAGAAATTGAGTTAGACACATGTGCTCTGACTTACTTTAATAAGTGGTCAGTGGCACTGGAGCTGTAGTTTAGCTCAGAACTGGGACTCATGTGACATAGAAGTTTGTGAAGGAACAATTTTTCTGGAGTGGCTCCTGGGATCCAAGCTGGTTATTTCAAACACAGTAGGCACATTTGAATAGACAAACTGAACCAAAACCTGGAGGAAAAAAAAAAAAAAAGGGCCTGAGCAGCCAGCAGCTCTGTAGCTAGACATTCTTGAAAGGCATTCACTTTAGATCACTCTGCAGGACAGCATGTTCCAGATGCCCGTCTTGCATCTTGTCCCAAGAGAGCAGGAAACCTATATGCATAGCTAAAAAAGAAAAATAAGACATATATATATAGACATATATATATTTTTGGTTTTGGTTTTGTTTTTTTTTTTAATACAGCTCCAACATTTTGATAGCTGACAGGAGACATGGAACTCAGAATGGATTACTTGGACAGTGTTCTGACGTTATGGAAAGATGATTTCTTTGTCAGGTTCAGTCTGTTTTCAGCTCTTATGCAGAGAAGATGGCAAGCTAAACCTTTCCCTGTTTTGTAATTACTACATGTATTAACCAGAATAGGTTTTCTTTTGAAGACTGCTATGTTCTTCAAAGCTAGTCATGAACTCATGGGAATATTTTTTTCCTGAATACATACATTACTCCAGTATTCACCAAATTCTCTTCCTCTAGACACCACAGCTGCAGTAATGTCACAGTCTATTTGGTCAATATCTCTTGTGCATCAGACTGACTTGATTACCTCTAAAGTTCAGGAACGGGAACTGTATCAGGAAATATTGGTTTTGACATCCTTTTTTGCACAAATAAAGAATAAGCATTTTATGCTATGCTGCTCTGTCAGTGTGCAAAATATATACCACATTTACTGTTTCTGTAAGCAGTTTCCAGAAGTCTAACTTCTGGGGAATCTTTTAATACTCCATGTAGTTCTAGCATCTGCATCAATGATCACAGGTTAAAATAGTCATGTCACCCTCATTTCAACTATCTAAGCATGGAAACCTTAGTCTTCAAAACTTTGATAAAAGCTACCAGTGAGATACAGGTCCTGCCTGGAGAAAATGTATCCCATGCATCTTAGATGCAAATGCGTGTGTCCTTTACCACTACATACAGAAGGCACTTATATGATTTGTTCAAATTGGCTGCTAACATTAAGAAATCTAATTCTACTAGACATTAACCTCAAGCCATCTCCTTACCCAAGCAGTCACTTGTGGGCTATCTCCTTTTGTCTTTGAAATGAGAATAAAGTACAGAAAAGCCATCTGTTGATTTTTACAAAAGAACATATGCTTCATTTTGAGGAGGTTCAAAAGATTTTTTATGCTGATGGATGGATAGAGAGGAGGAGTTCCTATTCTTCACACTACTCTGTCATGAGATTTTCTGATGGGAAGCATCAAAGTCTTCACCTTATGCTGATAAAGGCTCATTATCCAACATTTCTAGGAAGGGAGCTCTCTGTCGTAGGGAGATATAAGTACTTCACTCTAGTAGTGGACCCAGTGTTACACAGAAAGCACAGGCTTTCTACAGGAGTATTACATAAACTGTTAGTTGAAAAAGTTAAAAATTAACCACTTGAATGTAATTTTTCAGGAAAAGAATACAAATTGCATCTTTGGAAGAAATCTAGCATATCCTCTGCACAACGGGGCAAACTTTTCGGTTAAAGCAGAGAGCACTAACAGTACATACTCAGTCACATGCAAGTATATTCCTCAAGGTAATGCACTAGACTTTGGGAAAGGATTTGCATGCTTCTAATGGGCCTGAGTGTAAAAAAAAAAACAACCATGAAGTGCTTCCTTCTTTAGTTATTCTATTTCCTGGAAATGGATATCTCCTTGTTTATATCCTTATGACAATGTATGTTGGACAAGTGAACTGTTTTCCTACAACTTGTAGGAAACTCAATAAATGTTTTGCCCTTGGTTAATGTCTTGCTTGGCAACATTTTCTTAATTGCAAATTCTCTTCTGAATGTTTATTAGCTTCATTTTCCTGTATTATTCAAAATCAAGTTGAAATAGGTTTGTGGCTGTGGTTTTTTAAATTTTTCTAGAACTGTGTGATACCTTGAATTCTCATGGTGTCACTTTGTAGTGTCCAATCTATGATAACAAAAAGTCTTACAGAATCTGCCCTTTTTTATATGAGACGGATAACAGATATGAGAGTGTTAAGATAATGAGGTACAATATTTGCTGATTTAAGTAAGATATAATTGGAATATACACAATGACGCTACTTCCTGTCTCATCAAGCTCAAAGAAATTATTGTTTCCTTATAAAAGGAGGGCTAAGCCATTCTTTCTTTTAAAAAGACATGTTTATTCTCCTTGTTAGCCTCTGTTGGGGTTAGGAGTTAAAGAGTAATTTGTAGTGTTTGTGATCTGGTGATGTTAATCTCAGAAATCAGAATAATTCAAGCAACAGAGGTGGCCACTTTAGGCGTCAGCCTGCATTATGGCAACCTAGTCTTCATGGAGCCTAATCCTGTCATATGCAACTTCAGTCATATCTTTGGAGGACATAGCTACATCAGATTCTTCACAAGATCTGTCAGTCTAAATATCTTCCAATGCAGCTACGTAAAATGATGTTTACCATTCCTAATCAAAACAATAATTGTATAGAGTTGCAGGTGTCTGCTGTATCTAAGCATGTGCCAAGATCCTCCACTTCGGAGCAGTCCACACATTTTTTCCTCATAATGGACATTGCTGTGTTTGCAGGCATTAATGGGTCAGCCATTGAGAACTTCTCCTGTGTGATTTATGACATTTCCCTCATGAACTGCACTTGGCAGGCAGGCAGGAATGCTCCAGGAGATACTCAATATTTTCTCTACTGGCAGAACTCGAGGTGAGTAGGTCTTCTTGAGTCTTGAATTCCCATTTACCACATCACAGTACCCATGTTTAACTAAAACTCCTTGAGATATATATATATATGTGTGTGTATGTGTGTGTGTTATATTATCTGTAGAGATGATGACGTAATGGAATGTGAGCTTTACATTGAAGACGAAAATGGTAGACATGTGGGATGTAGATTCAAAAACGTGAAGATAGAGAAATCCTATTTTTTGGTGAATGGGTCTAGCAAAAACTCCCTGATCCAGTTCTATGACACAGATATTGACCTATATACAATTGGTGAGTAAATTATTTATTTTGTTTTATTTCTACTATTGCATGAGGGTAATAGAGCATTTATCCCCGAGACAGAGCCTGCAGTCAGACAGAATTGTCTCCCCACATGACAGTTTTTCCTGTTTTCTGAAAATATTCGGTCTTATCATTGATGCTGACAAAAATACAGTACAGAAATGGACCACAAGAGGAAGTAGTAACAGTCTGAAATAACTGTTAAGAAAAGTCTGACCATCCTAACAATTCTTACGTTGAGAGTTAGGATTTTCTGGCTTGAGTGTCATTTATCTAAAAACCATGCAGGCATTCAAATCCATTGGATGTTAATACCAGAGTTCCTAAATTCTCATTGAAATCTCTAGTTCTATCTTCACCTGTGCAGCTAAGGTGAAATGTGTTGCCCGGTCTGTCAACTCATTTAGTTGATTATTATGCTAAAGATGGTGAACACTGGCTTTGTAAATGCTTTCACACTGTTTTTAATTATGTTTAAAGCTGTTAAAAATTATCTTATTTCTGCTTTTATTGTCTGGCTGCAGAATTTAGCTTCAGTTTACTTCCCCATAGAATCTGTAACCATTTTCATTTTATGGACTTTCTACATTTCAGTTCAGAATACATCTACTCATTTACCAGCATTGTTGGACATAACATTTTTTTTTCTTAAGAGTGGTATCTGTACAGGCAAGACCTGAAGTCTCTTTTCACTCATCATCCTTGAGACGACAAAAGAAGCAGTATATGCCCTCCTTTTCTAATCGCTCTGAATAATTTATAAATGTTTCTCGCTCCCTGGTCCTTTCAAAAATACTATATTATAACTATTATTTACTTAGTATTTTTTTTCAGTGACCTTCAGACTTCTTCCTTGTTTAACTTCTCAAAATGTTACTGCTTTGGATCAAGGTTTTCTTTATAGCTGCTGCTTTTCCATCCTTTCTTACATGGAATAGCACCATTACTTGACATGTATCATACAACATAAACACTGAGCTAGAAAAAATACAGGGTATGCATCAGCAGTTCTTCCATTCAAGGTCAGTTCCTTTATCATCTGTAAAAATACATTGTCTCACCTGTATTCCTAGAGTAAAATGTGAGAGACTGAGAGACTGTGGCTTTTTCAAGAAAATCAACTACCTAATGAAAGAGCCATGAAGAAAATAAGCAAGGATTCTTCACAGCTGTGGCCCTTGTCAGCTTTTTTCAGCAATCTACTTGAATTACGTATACATCGATGGAATTTTGGAGATGGCATTTCACACCACTACCTTTTTCAGTGATGGCCAAAGACATTTCTACTAAAGAGACACCAGATAGTGCCACCAAGAAGCATAGCTTCATTCTATAAAGAAAAGGAAGTAAGCTGTACTATTACTCAGCTAAATTAAATAAAACTGCTTCTTGACCAAACAGCCCATCACAAACAGACCAGTCTTGTCCGTAAAGACTGATGCAAGATAGTCTAACTGAAACCATTCCCTCTATTGTTTTATCACTCCTTTAGTCATCAGTGTCTGCTTGTCCTTTGCTGTTGAAATAGATATTAAGTCCTTGGGTATGATCAAAATACAAAAGTATCTGTACTTTTGCCCAGGCTTGTGAAAGCAGGGGAGATGTCTGAAGTTCTAGATTCTTAAAACTGAAGTGCCATTCTTAAATCCGTATGGTTATTTTTGGAGGAGAAATAAGCTGCTTGGTTCATAACACCAAGCAAGCCATATGGTCATGTCACAGAAGAGTTAAATGAGAAAGCTTAAAGAATGAAATAACCTTCAGAATTCTTACATTAGGATTAACATCAGATTGCTCTCCCTGAACCACATTCCTACTTCTTTTCCTGGAGACAGGATATAGAGAACTCTGGTCTTCTAACACAGTGCTCAATAAAAATAAATGCAAATAAATATATTTATTCACAGAAATGTTACCCACAATTCTTCTTTTTTTTTTTTTTTAATCAAATCAAAAACTATGAAGTGATTTTAAATATTTGAATTCTTGAATTTATCATTTCAGAAAAACTCATGCCTCCATCAAATGTCACTGTCAGTTGTGACGAAAATTCACATTCTTGCACTATTCGATGGCAACAACCCCAAATAAATCACTCTAAAAAAGACAGATGTTTTAAATATGAAGTTGAAATAACATCCAAGGTAAGAGGAATCTCTAGACCTACATTAAACATCGATGCAAATTTTTACATTTTCTAATATGCATGGGTAAAAAGAAAACCTCTCGTATCATGTAGACTTCCTCATATGCAGTGTTATTTTTCTTTGTCGTGCCTTTCTTGTACCTTGTGAAACTGTACTGTCCCATTTTATCCCACTTTATGGCTAATCACAACTTGAACATATTACAGATTTGGCAGTGACAAAACTAGAAAAAGTACTTTCTTTTGCTGAGGTTCACTTCTTTCCAGTGGTGACTGCATCTGGGCTGCAGGTACGGGGTGAAGAAATGGTGATTTGGTTAAGCAGTATGAATGTATGGAAGAGGCTGAAATTTCTAATTCAAAATGTAACTAGCTAACCAGACACCATAGCAGCTGGAGATGTACAATGTTAAGTGAAAGAAAACAAATGAGAGAGAAAGCAGAAAGACTTGACAAGTCTTTGGGAGCAAACAGGAGTGAGGATGGAGTGACAGACTGAGGGGTCCAGCTGGAAGGAGAGTATGTGCACTACACCTCTGGCAGAACTTCGGCAGGCGACCAAGAGGTGGCTGATGGCAACTGGGGAACAGCCTGCCTGTACTGCAGCCCCGCGGCCACTGGGCGGCTGGCGCCGTCCTTCTCTGGAATTACTGTTCCAAACTGAGTCTGGAGGCGGTTTGCTAATTCACAGATGATCCCAGATGATTGCTGCTATAAAACCTTACGGCTTCTTCCAATCCCTTTGCCTTTGTAGCAATTAAGTCCTTATACTGAGCTCTGTGTGACTTTGACATAAAGAGAAATCACAGTAAAGCAATACAGAATTCTTTATTTTTTAACTTGATTAATACCAGGTTACAAAGAATATTCAATTCATATGGTGTCTGAACTGCCTCGTATTTCCATAAGAAATTATCAGCAGTTTTCATGTTACTAATTTCATCAAAGTCCACCAAATACTGCATTGCAAAATGTATTGCTTTCCAATTGCAAAGGATAAAGTGAGAGAAATATTGCATTCCTAATATACTGCAACCAAAATATATTTGTGCTACAATCAACTTTTAAACTTTATTTTACAACTGGAAATTACTTGCATTGAGAGAAAACAAAAAGGATAACACAATGACCGTGAACAGGCTGCCCTCAGGAGTTGTGGAGTCTCCTTCTCCGGAGATATTCAAAACCCACCTGGATGCCTGCCTGTGTGACCTGATTAGGGAACCTGCTTAGCAGAGAGGTTGGACTGGATTGACTCCAAAGGTCTCTTCTAATCCCTATGGTTCTTTAATTCTGTTATCATCTTTCTTTCTCGTATGTGACATCAGTAACAACCCTAAAGGGAGATTACCTGATTCCATTTTCCCCCTCTGCTCAAGATAGCTGCTTTAGGGATTCAAGGACCTGCTCTCTTGTACAGCAGCATGCTTTGCAACACATGCTCGGGTGCCACATGGGCACTATTATTTTCTGAAGAAATATTTGATCTGATTTCTTCTTGTTTTACAGTAGGAAAAAAAAAAAAACAACAAGACTGAAAGTAATTAAAAACAAACAAAAAACCCCAAACCCACAGGATAGTGGAGATGTTGATTATTAGCCTGCCAATCGTTAGTTGTGTGAGGTCAATATGCTATATATTAGTCATTATACCTACACAGAAGAGATATGGGATTTTATTTTCTATCAGAAATGTAGATGAAATATTTATGAATCCAAATCACTTCTGAATGATTTCATCTGAGGGAAAAGAAACATCATTTGCGTGGCATTTACAATTCAGCATAGTGTTTTGTGTTTTTATAAGATATAAATAATAGATTTAAAAAGAAAAGCTTATCTCATGAAGTTCAACAAGGTGAAGTGCAAAGTCCTGCAACTGAGTTAGGGCAATCCCAAACACAGATACAGGCTGAGTGGAGAATGGCTTGAGAACAGTCCTGGGAGAAGGATTGGGCAGTGTCAGTTGATGAAAGATTTAATATGAACTGCCAATGTGCGCTTGCAGCCCAGAAAGCCAATTTTATCTTGGGTTGCATCAAGAGAAGTGTGACCAGCAGGTCAAGGAGGTGATTCTGCCCCTCTACTCTGCTATTTTGAGACCCCACCTGGAGACTGCATCCAGTTTGGGGGCCCCCAAAACAAAGAGGACATGGAGCTGTTGGAGCAGGTCCAGAGGAGAGCTGCAAAGATGAGGGCTGGAGCCCTTATAGGGAAAGGCTGAGAGAGCTGGGGCTTTTCAGCATGGAGAAGATTCCAGGAGAACTTAAAGCAGCCTTCCGGTACTAGAAGGGGACCTGCAGGAAAGCTGGGGAGGGACTTTTTTTAAGAGCATGTAGCAATAGGGGAAATGGCTTTAAACTGGAAGAGGGTAGATTTAGACTAGTTATTAAGAAGAAATTATTTTCTGTGAAAATGGTGACACACTGGAACAGGTTGCCCAGTGAGGTTATGGATGCCCCCTCCTTGGAAACATTCAAGGCCAGGCTGCATGGGGCTTTGAGCAACTTGGCCTAGTGGCAGGTGTCCCTGCCTATAGTGGCAGTTTGGAAATAGATAATCTTAAGGGTCCCTTCCAACTGAAACCATTCTTTGATTCTGTGATCTTAAAGGCTTTTTCTGATGTGTGTAAGAATAGAGTTACTGTTTGCATTCAGACCAGGGTGTTGTTTTTTTTTTTTCGGTTGTGTTTCAGTTCAACCATCAATCTGAAATACAATTTATTTCTCAGCTCTAATGGTAAGGAACACAAATACTTTTCGTAGAAGAAATAGTTACTATAAACTTGGCATTGCAGTTGAATCACATATCAGAAATAAAATATTAGGTAAATTACTAGGTAAATTAGGTAAATTGTTCATCAAAACAAACTGTGAAGTAGATAAGACAGTAATGCAGAGAAAGGTGATAGGCAATTGATTAAAATGACTATCTTAACAAAAAAAAAAAAGCGATCATAAAAATAAAACTTTTCTCTCGATATACAGGCTAACTCTGCAGAGTGGACCAATCAAAGTTATACAAAAGTAAGTTTGCTTTTTCTATTTATCAGCAGTGTATGTTCGTTTCATAGTCAATTGTGAAATGCAGATAGCACACAATTGCATCTAGCATTAGTTCTACGCTTTATGATATTTTTATTTATGGGCTTCTGAAAAGTGTCTAGCTGCTAAATAATTATGATATTTGTGTCACTTGTCATACATTCAAAGAAATGTGGAAAAAAAACCAGAAAAGTTACTGTTCCATAACTATTTTTAACATAAATATTTCTTCCTCTCAAATGTTCGGGTCAGAATTTGAAAATACACATTAGTGACAGAAGGGAAAGAAGTCATTGAGAAAACTCCTCCTAGGAATTTAATTCAACTTATGTATACCCAAAAACCAAAAAAAGCCCTTGGGAATAGTTCTGCAGGTATGCTGCACCTTCTTCTACTCAGTGCAGCCTACACTTCCCACTCCTATTCTGAAAGTATCCAAAGAAAGAGTATGTTTTGGGAAGTTCTGGTACAGCTAAGTACTGCAGTCTTCTTATTTGACAATATTTTACAACTTTTGTTTGTCCTAAGGAGCCCTATTACAAAGACAGAAACATGAGCTACATGCAGATGGTTTATTCTTTGCATTATAGAATTTTAGCAGCACTAATACGAGATGATTCAAGATGCTTTTCTGCTTCTGTAAATGTAGCAAGGAAAATCATAAATAAATCATAATTACTGATGATGTAATTTCATAAGAAATTACAGGTTAACGAATAGAAGTTGAAAAGTTGAAAGTTCTAGACAGCAAAATTTATGGAGTGATAGACTATACTTGAAAGGATACACACATAGGTACATATATACTACATACTTCAAAAGCAAGCATATATTTTTTGCTCCAAAGCAGCAGTCTGATCTAACAAGCAATTCCTCCATACCTCGAAAACTCTCACTGGTAAACGCAGCTTCTACATTGTCAACATCTAGGAATTCAGCAATGAAAAACTCAGTCTAGATGTGGTTTTGTCTTTTTGCTTAGGAAATTATTACGAGCCACATAGTTCAAAATCCCAACATGAGAAAGAAGAACCTGGTGAAAATAAGAGCAGCTGGCCATACGTGTAGAGTGAGCAAAGATTGGGGGGAGTGGAGCGCAGCTGTTGAGTTTGGTAAGAATAAAAAATCTTTACCGTGACTTATCTTTCTCCCTGTTATGACCTAACTACTTCACACATGGATGTGCACTTACAAAGAAAAATATAAAGTATACGTAAGCATTGTGTTTCATTGCACATTACTGGGAAGGAGAGAGATGATTAGTTTATCTCTTAACATTCTAACTTTGGAAATCAATAAAAAAGTTGTATATTTGAAACTGTAGTCTATCATGCCTGCTTAGTGCTGAGGATTAACAAACAGGTTTGGTGTTAATCTCTCCTGGAAAAATGTACAGCTAAAATGCTAAAACAAAAAAGGGTTGCATTTTGTTCCAGGAGAAACCTTTTGGACTGACATTCATTAGTTAGAGTATGTGCTTGACTGTGCATTTATTGCTTTTTGTTAACAATGATTCATGACTGTTGCTCTTTCAGGAAACGAAGAAATTTCTTCTTCAGTATGGATTTTACCCGTAGTGGCAGTTGCAACACTCTCAATAGCTATCTTTACAATTTTCTTCTGCAAAAGGTATATGGAATTTATACTTCTATTTTATTTTGTGTGAATGTTTGAAACATGTGCAGTTCTTAAGCAAATAAATTATGCAGAGGTGCCTCTGAACACATTTTCACTCACAATCCAATAGAAGCCAAATTAAAAAGGTGTTCTCAAGGCAGGCATTATGATTGTGATACCTAAAGTCTCTGGATGACTCACATACATTTTTTCAAGAGTCTCTAATGTTAACATGGCAAGAAGGTTAATTATGTTTCATCACTTACCACAGAATCATAGAATTATTAAGGTTGAGAAAAGATCTCCAAGATCATCTAGTCCAGCTGTCCATCTACCATCAATATTTCACCACTAAACCAAGTCCCTTAGTACCACATCGACATGTTTTTTGAACATCTCCAAGGCCTGTGACTCAAACACCTCCCTGGGTAGCCTGTTTCAGCACCTCAACACTCTTTTGGAAAAGAAACCTAATTCCAACTCAACATCCCCTCACTCAACTTGAGGCCATTTCTTCTCATCCTGTTGCTGGTTACATGGCAGAAGAGGCTGACCCCCACCCCACCACAACCTCCTTTCAGGAAATTTTTGAGAGCAATAAGGTCTCCCTGAGCTTCCTCTTCTCCAGACTGAACAATCTCAGCTCCCTCAGCTGTTCTTGCGAAGACTTGATCTCTAGACCCCACAACAGCATTGTTGCTCTTCTCTGCACATGCTTCAGGGTTTCAATGTCTTTCCTGTAGTGAGAGGCCCAAAACTAAACACAACACTCAAGGTGTGGCTGAGTACAGAAGGATGATCGCTTCCCTGCTCCTGGTGGATTCAACTCCATCCAGCATCACTCTCTGGGCCCAGCCCTCCAGTTGGTTCTTTATCCAGTGAATTGTGTATCTGTCCAAGCCAGTGTCAAAGGCTTTGCTGAAGTCTAGGTAGACTATGTCAACAGCCTTTCCTTCATCCACCAGGCAGGTCACTCAGTCATAGAAAAAAATCAGGTTGGTGAAGCAGGACCTGCCTCTCACGAGCCCATGCTGGCTGGGCCTGATCTCCTAGTTGTCCTGCACATGTCCTGTGATCTCACTCAAGATGATCTGTTCTATAACAATCGGTTCCCAGGAGCAGAGCATGGTACCTCCTTCTGCCTCCTCTCCTCAGGGTGCTGCGCAGAACAGTGAGGTCACCTCTTAGCCTTCCCTGCAAAAAAACCTAAGTTTCAACAGCCTCTCCTGATACCAGCTTTTTAAAGCCATTCTTACCAACATGTGGACTGTCTGCCAAAAGATGTGATTTCTTGAAATGTAATTATTGCAAACACACAGGCTGATTGTACTTATCAGTACAGATCTTCTAACATTCTAACATTAGAATTGTCCTAGCAAGCTAAATTAATCTGAGAATGCATAAGAAATTTGCATTTCTTCCTGAAATAAACTATGCAAGAGAAATGGAAAGAAAAAGGATAGTCTACCTTATCATGTGCTTTGTATAGAAATATGCAGTAATTCAGAGAAGACTGTTCTTCCTACTTGTTTAAAAGTTTATGTTCACTTTATACTGGTTGCAGTGGCTTAAATATGATCACAGTAGTAAGTTCCTTCTTATTTCAAAGAAGAAAATAAATATTTTGAATCTAACCAAAAAGAAAATTACTACCATCTAAATTCTTAGTGTCTTCCTCATATGTATTCATTCTGTGACATGATGATGTACAATTTTCATTTCTTTTCTTCCCCTGGAGGAGGAAGATAAGAGCTTGTTCAAGGGTGCAGTGGTTTTGACACATGCTAGATACTTTATTTTTCTGTTTTGCTCTATCCCATTTGAATTCCAGGACTGGTTATTGGAAAGCAGTATTTCCACAAGTTCCAAAGCCAAAAAATCCATTTCATGGACAGCTTGATATAAATCCACAGGTAGGCTTTCTTTCTATTTTATATTAAATGCATGAAATGCAAAATAAAACTATACTGCAGGTTTAAAGGTAATGTTTAAATGATAAGGAACTTAAAGGAAAGAATAACTCTTTCCTTTGCCATATACTGAGGAACTATGAAAGAAAATCAGCAGGGAATTTGTTAAGGGAAGTCAAATGCAGTACTCTTCTCCCCCCAGGGGGTTTCTGCTGTTCCAGTTTGACGGGCACAGGGGTTAATGCTTCCATTGGTAGGTCTTATACCTATGGATGACTTACAAGCATCACACTGTCACCAACATAATTATAAACATAAATAATAAACATAAATAACACAATGTCCCATAAGTAGAGCCACAAACAGTCCAGTCTGGCTGCTTCTCTCCAGCTGGGCAGGATGAACTTTGCCAGTGGGACATGTACACATCTGTACTCAAGGCCTGTTCAGTTAACTAAGCTTCAGGCCAAAGTGTACTCACCTGGTTATGTACCTTAATAAAGTTAATCCTTTTGTTCTAATTCTTTTAAAATTATCTGTGAACGGTGTGTTGGAGAAAAGCACGCTTTCCCCCTACTCATTTTCAAGCCAGGCTGAAAATCATGTTTCAGCACTACAGAGGTGTTGAAATTTCAGTATTTTGTCTTTCTAAGGAAAGCTTATCTGATAAGGAGGAAAAAAAAAAAAAAAAGTGAAATATTTCCTTAAAATATGCAAAAAAGTTGAAATATTCTCAGAATTACACATACATAAGTTAGTCACGTGTATAAAACTAACAGAAATTTTAATTTTCCTTTCAGACGATGGAGTGCAAAATGCAGTCAGTAACTTCTGAAACTGAACAAATTATAGTAGTTGCTGAAGTAGTAAAATAGTAAAAACAAATGAGGAACCTGAAAGTGTACTTTTTAGTTCAGGCAATTCAGCTCTGCAGAAAGTCAGGAACTAAAATGCATAGGTAGTATAGCCAAGAGATAAGATTATTCATGTGTAAGTTTTTGAAATGCCTTATCTTTTCTTTTAATTTCATCTTACTTTAGCTGTCTGGGTAACTGTCCTTACTGGGTATCTTCCATTCTGTGAATATGATTTAAATATTTTGGTCAAGAAGTTTCAGTTGCAACATGTTAAAGAAAAATAATACTTTTTTTTTTTTTTTTTTAAATCATATTAAAAATACTAAGAGCCAACCTACTGAGAGGGCAGGCCAGCTATTTAGAGGGACCTTGACATGCTGAAGAAATGGGTTGATGGAAACCTTACAAAGTTCAACAAGTGCAAATGCAAAGACCTGTACCTGGGACAAACTAAATCCATGTATCCTAGTGAGTGGGTGACAGACAGGTTTGTAGACAAGGCTTTGGTCCTGGTGGACAGGGTAGACAAAAATAACCAATGTGTCCTTATGTATGGTCAGGTGACAGGAGAGCACAGACAAAGATCCCCCTTTCAGTTAAGACCTAATTCCATACAAAGCTCATTCTGGAGCTGGAGTTATATCAGAATAGTCCTGTCATCTGACTCCCTGGTTTGGATGGTTGGAAAGTAAGCCATCCATCCACATCTAACCTGAGGATGTTATGCCGGAAGCTCACCAGGACTTCTAAGTTGATGTTAATATTCAAACAAAAAATGGTCAAGCGTTTCACCCCTTAACAGAATTAACCTTTGAGTACTTTCATTCACAATAAAAATAACTTTATCCTCTGAGGTAGTCTCATTGATTTTGACAGCTCACGTATCTTTCTGCTTCTTTTGGCCTTGGAGATTCAGGTTTTAAGGATGTCATAATGTTCTTCATAAATAAGTGAGGAACCATGGCTAGAACAAACTTATGCTTTAGTGTAAAACTGCTTTTTATTTTGAGACAAAAACTTGGACTACAGTATCAGGCATCCAAATATAGTTATTTGATTATTAGACTACTTTTTTTTTACAATGCTATATGCTTGATTGTCAGATTAAATATTCCCAGGACAGTTTTCTTGCACCAGGACCAACTGCCATTACACACTAGCCCCAGTCTGAGATAATCCCTGGACTATGCCCAGGATTTGTTCAGGACATTGACATTGTTTGCAAGTCCTGGCCAAGTCAGTGCTGAGAACAGTTGTTTCTGGACTCCTTCCAGTGCTGAGGAGTTGTCCAACCACCAGCACTGGCAGGAACTATTCCCCACACTAACTTCTACTCTAGATAGGTGCAAAGGAGCTCTTGGTAGAACTACTGCATTTGAAAAAATTAATGATTGCCACTGAGTCAAAGACTCACCTGGGAAGATTTTTCCTTCAGATTACAAGAACAGGGCCAATTTCTCAAGGAGAAGGAGCTGAACATATGTACAAACAGCATTTGCACATACTTCTCCCAGTGCACAGCAAAAGCCAGAATGGAAATGCTCACAGTCACAAGCAAAAAGAGTGACGACATTGTGCTAGGCCACACTAATTTATACAGCTTTTGATGATATCATTCCTGTTGGACAAAAATGCCAGGGAGCAGCATAGTTTGACTGTAATCCACCATAGCATAACCATGAACTAGGAAACATTAATGGCTCGCTGTAGGGAATTGAATAGGAAAGTATAATAAAGGCAGTATCTCTTAGGAGATTGCATTACAGTCTGGTAGATACAAAAAAAAAAAAAAAAAAAAAAAAAAAAACCCAACACTCCTTATTCCCTGTTTTCTTTAGATAAGGAATAATATACTTTAGTTTACTCAGGGAAGGAGCTCAGGAAAAGCTGGCAGGTCATTTAGAACTACATTCTCTATGCAGAACAGTGAGACATTGTAACACTTAGGGAAACAAGCAGACATATTAGGAGACCAGCTTCCCAAATCAAAAGGGCGCAAGGAGGAAAGGAACAGATAACAGCGGGTGTCCAAAGAAGGAAGTAAATGTGGAAACTCAAATCTATGCAGTTCTCACAAGAATCCAACTTAAGGATGATAAGACCTGGCCAGTCCATTCTGTATCATCTTCAAAAGGTTGTGGAGACCAAGGAGGTCTTTGTTGACTAGAGAAAGGCAAGTATTGCTCCATCTTTAGAAAAAGTTCTTAAGATTATCCCAGGGCCTGGCAGCTTGGAACGTCATGATGGGAGTCTTATTGGAGCACATTTCTGAGCACGATATGGAGGTTACTGGGAGTAATCAGTATGGTTTTTAAAAGAGTAAATACCCATGACAATTGGGGTACCAGAAGGTTCTGTCCTTAAGTCTATCCTGTTTGACATCTTTGTTGGTGAGATCATGTTTGTAGATAACACCAGATTGGGTGACCAATTCATTTGCTCAAAACAGAGGCCACACAGACTGAAGAAAAGGTGAAAAAGCAAACAAAACCTGAATTCATCCATTAATGACTTTTAATTTAAGTTGCCCAGAAAAGGAAAATTAGTGTGTGTGGTCTTTTTTTTTTTTTTTTTTTTTTTTTTTTTTTTAAGGTAATGTCTTTTTCAAAATAAGTGTTGTGAAAAAATTTCCTGTGCTTTTCTTAAAACTCTATGAATTACACTAGTCACTGTTAGTCTGTTACAAAAGAGTTTCATACAGCATTGGGCAACTTGTTGAATTATCCATCTGCGATCTAATCTTTTTTCAATGAAAGGCTGGTGACATTTCTGAAACTTTTATCAGCCTAGTGTTTGTTTTTTGTTTGTTTGTTTGTTTTTCTCAGCAAATGCTAATGCTAAACCAAGATATTATTGTAATTGATCATCCAGACCATGTAGAGTGAATTTCTCTCTCTTATTTATGATAAGCTACTCATGAATTGGCTACTAATAGCTACACCAACACTGTGGAACACCACCTGCAAGAGTCCAGAAGACCACCTGTGGACCAAGAGTGCTGGTTCTGAAAGAGGTTGTCCTGGGGGAGCCGGAGAGGTCATGGTCCACACCTCAGTGCTCCTGAGTCTCAACTGCTCACATTGACAAAGCACAGAATAGCACATTGCACAATACCAAAACCATTTCTGGTTTATTATAAACACCAAGATAAGCAGTTTGTCAGTTCAGAAACAGTTGATCTGATGGTTCCCAGGAGAAGGTGGGGCATGTTGAAGGAATACATAAAAGAGATCAGATGTCCTTAAAGGAAACAGGTTATCAATGGAGTCAGAGTCATGGTCTTATCCACATAGATAAACCAGGGCACTGTGAGGGCCATGTGTCCTCCTGAGAGGTACACGGAACCTGAGGACAGCCATGGAGCCATCAGGCCATGATCTCTCTGGCCAGAACTATCCCAGAGCAGCCAGTGAGCGAGCACAGACAGCCATATCCCAAGGAGAGGGAAGAATAGTGCACACAGAGCCCCAGTGAATTCATCCAGACTGGAGATTTGAAACACATTAGTCAAGACTAATGTAGCTACTCTTTGAATAGTCTGAAAGTACTAATCAGATGAGACTGTTAGACAACCCTCAGTTTATTCACAAACATGCCACCGCTACAGGATGCAAATCCTTTTAACAAAATTAATTATCTTTCCAGAAAAGCTCACAAGTTTAAAAGTGTTTAAAATTATCTCCGAATTCTTAATTGGTCATTTATGCATTTCCTTCACCTGAAATTACTTGTCTTACTTCTCTTAGGTTCTGTCCTTCAGACCTTCCTCTTCCTCAACCCTTTCCAGTGCTTGTTCCTCCTCTCCTGTTCCTAGGTGAAAGCCACCTATTGAGAGCATGCTCAGGCCCAAACCCTCCCCAGAGTCTCTCACAGGGCTGGTTCTCAACCAGCAGAAAACAGTACTGATATGCTTGTCCTGAGCATATCTTGGGAAGAAAGAAATTGAACAGCATTGAGCTATTTTAGCTCCCACTGTCAGAATAAACCCAGAAACAGACAGGATGAGAAGCAAGTCCAGAGAGGATGGAAAATGGAACATGCCAATCCTCTTCCCAAGGTGCTGAAAAGATGACAAGGACTGAATCAACACTAGGAATGTAGCTTGAGAGACCAGAATATTTAGCTGAAACACATACACTCTTCTCT